TCAGAGCAATCAGTGGTGGTAGCCGGGCACCATCTAGTTGTACTGGACCCAGTCTGGTGGAGGCTGTGGTAGTTGTGGTTGTCAAATACCATTCTTAACACTATTCTTTTACCTGGAGTCATTAATTGCCTGGTATTTCCAATCTAGAAGCTTTAATGGCTTCAGAAAATCTCTATTCTCAGGTAAGTCTACTACATGGCTATTCTCAGGGAATGTTAATAGGTATTGTACAAAAAGAAAAAGTTCTGAAATTAAAGGAAATGCTAGATTAAATAAATTTAAATAGATTTCTTCATTGCAGGGCTTCTCAGAGTCTTTGCAGTGCTAATATGCATTGTGAATTCCCCAGAAGGGGAATATAATTGATGGTGTTTCCCAAACAAATACAAAGGATTTTCCCGTCCTCAGGAACATGGATGGGGTTAGTGTTCCATGGAACACACTTTGGGAAATGTTAATCTACATACTCTACCAAGTGTCAAAAGTCCTCTCAGACACTGATCTGGAGCTTTCATCTGTAACACGCATAGGTCTTGGGGCAGGTAGTTGTAACACTGAGGACAAACAAAGTGTTTAAAGGGACAGCAGCTGTTGAACATTAGGCCCTGGAGTTAGAACTAGAAGATTCAAACACAGACTTTATTTGTAGAAGGAAACAGAGCAATAGGATTTTTCAGTTGTTGCAGAGAGAAACTTTTAGCAGAAGACTGCCTATTTGTACCTGGATCCCAGGAGCCCATTAGTTGCACTGTGTGCAAAGTTGGGCATATCTTACTTCCCCAGACGGCGCCACCATTTGAAGCTTATCAGTCATCTGCTGTGTGGTTTGTCTACTTTCTTTTCTATTTTCTCACACTATGATGTGAGGTCATTTTGCTTTTGTTGCTGAGACGCAATGCAGCTGCCGTGCAACCTCATTTTTTTTTTTAATTGTAATAAGCTCTGGTTTCTTTCTCTTCCTCTGTTTTTTTTTTTTTTTTTTTTGCAGCCTCAGTAACATTTCGGCCAGAGTGGTCTACAACGAGGCTTTGTTCTGTTCCAAGGCAGCCTGTTAGAGACCACCTACCTGGCTGAGGATAACCTAGCCGAGGATACCCTGGCTGAGGATAGTGGAGGCTGGAGGAGGCACTTACTCAGCTCTCAGCGGGAAAATGACCTAATGCCAAGGATCCCTTGGACTCTCTGATTGCTACAGGCTGAGCGATGTCGCCTCTTTTCCGCCCAGCAAACCTTCCTCTATGTGACTGTCCTTGGGTTTGGTCCAAGAATTATCACAGTCCTGAGCATCCCACGCTGCCACCTCTCACTTCTTGGAGGATAATATTTTATCTGAATTAACTTTAAAGAAAAGGGAGGAAGCAAGCACTCAGCCTCTCATTAGCACTGTGCCCTCTTGTGGTTGGCTTTCCTCTGGTTGTTTTCCTAGGTAACATGGATTCAGAGCCAACCACCTGTTACTTTGAGGCATGCATAAACATGATCTTTATTAGGAAAGAAAGAAATTCAGGAATAGCCACACCCAAGCCCCTCACCTCACACATCCTGAGGTTTTCCACTTCTGTCTGGAATGCCCTCTCATTCTTTCTAACCTATCTGATTGCTAGTCTTTCAAGACATAACCTGGGTACCACCTTCTCTGTGAAGCCTTCCATCTCTGCTGGTAGGGTTGGTTATTCCCTCTTCTATATTCCTGTAGCACTCAGGTATCTTTTGTTCTTAAACAGGACTTGCTAATTGAGCGCCAGGATTTGCCTGTGCTTTCCACATATTCACCTCACCTACCCACCTCAATCCTTAGCATTGTACCAGCAGCTAGGATGGGCTCAGCAATGCTGGTTGATTGTGACTTTATTTTCTCCTGAAGTGTGTAGTGGGTTTCAGAGGTTCTCTGGACAGGTGTGTATATGTATGTAAAGGCAGAGTTGTGAATACAGAACGACATGAATAAGTACATCTAGACAGTAAACAGAACAGTGAGGTTATCTCCATGTGCACATACACATGCAAGTAGACCGCTGAAGGCTCAGAGATTTGGTGCTTTTCTGGCACATTTTGTGTTGGATTTGTTGACCCGAAAGTCTGATAAGAACCCTGGTTTACCTTCTCTGCATAATTTAATAGAAAAGATTATCAGCAGTAAAATATCCCTCTTCCCCAACTAAATTTCATGTCTTACAGAAGTATGTAGGATTTTCTTCTGGAAGCCCCTTCCAGACCTAGTCCTTGCTCTCTGGTATTCATGCATTTACAGGGGATAAGCCCTCCCCTCCAACCTCTGCAGGTGAGCATGGCGGGAGGACACAGAGGAACATCAAAGGTTAACATTACCTAAATGACAGTCCCCGATACTGTGTGGCAACATCAGGAAGGTCTTCTGGTTTAGAGCCAATTCCATTGCCAGCCTTTAAAAACATACCAAAATCCATAGGAAAATCATCAAGTCAGAGAAGAGGGAAGATATTAACGTGCAGGGCTTCCCAAGAGGAGGGGTGGTTACCAATGCACTCATTGCAGTGTGACCAAGCACTGGTCCAGAATCCAAGGGCCAGGTTTGCATGCTGTGGATAACCCTCCCCAGCCATGGGCCTTCAAGCCAATCCCTTCACTTGCCTCAGTCTCAGCTACCTCCTTACTGAATGGAGGACAACCCCAGGCCACGTAATTACTGAGCTTGCCTAATAGTTACCTTCCTTAGCTGTAAAACGAGACTTAGTGGTATCCACCTTACAGTGCTTTTTGGGTTTTTAAGGAGACTAGGAGAGATAAAAAAACATTTGGCTGCTAACCAAAAAGTCTGCAGTTTGAATCCACCAGTCGCTCTTTGGAAACCCTATGGGGCAGTTCTATTCTGTCCTATAGGGTCGCTAAGAGTCGGAATCGACTCCACGGCAACAGGTTTGTTTTGTTTTTTTTGGTTCTTTTTAGGAGAGATAATACATGCACATTTTCTTAGCACTGTTCCCAGCACCTCGAAAGGCCCCCACCACCACCAAAGGATTAGTTGCTATTAATTTTGAAAAATCACTTTATACTATACTTAAAAAAAAAAAAAACTATGCTGGAGAGATGACATCCTTAGGCACTTGCCTCTTAAGAATTCATCAATAACTGCAAAGGACAATGATGGCAGGGAAGTTACTTAGCTTTAGCTTCTCCCCATTTTATATGTCTGACCAAAAGATTAATATTTTAAAGAAGAATTTGGCTTAAAAAGTAAAGCAAAAAGGTGGCAGGAGAGATTGCCCTTTCTTAGTGGCAGAAGGCAACCTAGAAGACCTACTCATAAACTTTAGAGAGGTGGACCAGGCCTTAGAGGCCATTCAGAGGGGGCTGCTTGTCTACCAGCATCTTGTTTATTCCTCGCATCAGAAACAGGTGGAGCACGGGATCTAGCCCAGCCACCCACCCGGACCAGAGCCCAAGAGTCCTTACAGTCAGAGAATCCCCCAGGGCAGCCACAACCTGAATGTCCGCGGGTCTCAGGGCATGTACTAGAAAGACAAGAGGACACCTTTGAGTCGTGGGAAGGAAGCTGCAGCCAGAGGCGAGTGCTTCTTGCTGGAGCAAAAACAGAAACACGGCCCGCATGTGTGCTGGGTCATGCAGGAGTGAGCATGCACGGTGCTGTGCCAGGAGCCAGTGGTTGTATGAAGACAGTTTCCCAATCACCTGATCCCAGGCCTCCGGAGGGAGGAGAGGGCCATGAAAAGGGTTGGGGGTGGGGGGGATGTCAAAAGAGCAAGAAGGGGAGAGGGCTGGGGAGACAGATAACTAGAAAGAAAGAAAGGGGAGCTGGGGCAGGGCTTCCCCTCGGTAGAGAGGGCAGAATGGGGTCCCACAGCTTTGGTGCCTAGCAGTCATGCTGGATGCCAGCTGTGGCCTGAGTATGGGAGCTAGATGGGCACTGGACCTGCTGAGGTGAAGTGCAGGGCCTGGTGTGCAGCCAGTCAGAGCCGGATTCTGGTTTCCACCAAGAATCTGAGGGATAATCATGTTGTACCTTCCCCTGCCCCCAAGTCTCTTCTGAAGAGTCCAGGGGATTTCCAGGCCCTGCTGGCAGGTGTGAGTCCAGAACTGTGACTGCAGAGCCTGGGCCACAAAAGCAGCTCACAGAGCTAGCTTCCTCTTGTGACCTCTGGGGCTCGGTGAGGCCACACTGCAGGGCTCCATCACCAATGAGGGGGGCTCCTGAGGTGCCTCCAGCTAACAGGCAGAAGTCGGAGGGCAGCACACAGCTCCTGACGCTGACCACCTGGGGGCCTGCCGGGCATGGTACTGCCACAGGGCAGAGCAGAGTGTGTCCCAGGCCACCACCCCAGACAGGAAGCAAGTACATAAAAGTATTATATAATTTGCATATTGAAAGTCTTGCCAAAGAACTGATTGGCGTGTAAACCTTCATGAAAGCGGTCCTGGGACCTGGTGTGTCATAGGTGGCTTACCTGAGGTGGGGGATGAGGCAGAAGGAGCTCTGTCCCTGCACAGCAGCCAGCTCCCATGGCCCTAAGGGTGTGGAATCAAACTCAGACTCTTAGGGTTGAAAGGGACCAGAGAGGCTGGCTGGGCATCAGACTTACCCAGGGAACTTGAAAAAATACATATTCCTGGGCCCTGCCCCTGGGGAGGGGCCTAGAAAGTACATTTTCAGAAAGCTCCCTAGGTGATTTTGGATATCAGCCAGGTTGAAGTTGGATCTACTTCAGACTCCTCTATCATTCAATACAAGAATCAGGACACTGACAATATCAGCCCCTGTTTCTTCACCAACACTCCCAGCTTTATAAAGGGGATACTTATCTTCACTTATGTCCTTGATGAAGCTGTGATTTGACTGGCTGGGCCCCTATCCAGGCTGCTATCAATGGCATTTACTCGACCCTTTCTCCAGTAGCCCAAGCCATGATAGGCCTTTACAAAAGAGCGAGAAGCCCCCTACAGCTGGCCCATCAGGAGCTCTTGCCCACTTCCCCCCCCCCCCCCCCTGCTGGGCCATTCCCACCCTGCTGGGCCATTCCCACCCTACTGGGCCATTCCCATCCTGCTGGGCCATTCCTGCCCTGCTGGGCCATTCCCACCCTGCTGGGCCATTCCCACCCTGGGCTGGCCACTGCATTCTCTGGTGAGTCCAAAGGAAGCCACATGTAATACCTGCACGTTCTTGTTTGTGCCCAGAAACGGCCAGACCTGTGAGAAGAGGGAGGTGAGCCAATGGCAGCAAATCCAGTTTGCTTCCTGCACTGCTCTCCTGCTCACCGGCCTTCAATAAGTGCTGACCTTGGCCTGAACACTCTGGTCCTCCCCTGCCCTGCATCCCCAAGCCTGGCCTCTCCTGCCAGGCTGCTCAAGCTGACAGCTGTGGGCTCCCTCCAGGATGCACTCTGGACTCCCTGGCAACCGGAGCCCAGCAGGGGCTCCCCAGGAATAAGCATGCCTTCCCTTTGCTCCCATCCTGCTGACTGGGGACAACCGTGTCACCTCCCATTCTCCACCCAGCTTCATCCACCAGTGCACCTCTTTCTGCTGATGAAGCCCACGGCCCCACTGCCCAGCCTGGTCTCTCGCTTCCCTTTCCCCCCAGCAGTGTGGGCCCCTTCTTGCCCAGGCAAGAGGGGTCAGGCCCCAGCACAGTGGTTAGCAGTGTTGGGCCTGGGGTCCTTCTGGGAATACAGAGGAATTTATAGAGGTAAGGGCAGCAGCTTCAGAGCTCCAAGGACCTGAAAATTCGCGAGTGATAATGAAAATGGTGATCTTGTTCTGCTTCACCTTCCTAGTTAATGTCTGCATTCCTAGCTCCAGCTTCCACCTTACCACTTCCAGTTCCTCCTCCTCCGTACCGCTCCCTCCTACCCAGCCCCCCACACAACAAGATATTATTCTAGGTCTCTGTCCCTTGCTCTTCCCATTCCGCTAGGGAGGCAGTGGCTATAAGAAGACAGGGTATCCTTCAGTCTCATCTAGCCTTCAAACCGGAGCTGGATGTTGCTGCCACTTTCCACTCCCTGGCCTGAAAGAGCTGCGTCCAGCCCAGACGTGTGCCAGGGCTCCTTGTGATGCAGAGAGTGAGGAGCACTCCACGGCCTCCTGGCCACTGGGGCCATCACGCCTCGCAGACCAACCCGACAGTGTAGGTGGGTGGTCAGAGCTGGGGTGGGGGTGAGAACCTGGGGTGAAATGAACTGAGGAGCCTTAAAGAGAGCCGAAACCTGGAAAAGCTGCTTCAGATGGGTGTGTCCCAAAGGCATGTTTTTCACCCTACCTGGTCTGGACATGTGATACTGATCTCATTTTCAAAATTATGCTCTGCTGTCTTCTGGCCAACAGGTTCCAGCTAAACCAAGAAGCAGGAAGATGGGGAGTGAGAAAGAGGCAGCAGGAACTGAAAGGTGAGGGTGCAGGCTGGGGTGGGTCAGGGAGTGGGGGTCAAAGGAAATGTGGCTTATTGTCACTGCTGAGAGGGCACCTTCAGGCACACAGGTCCTGGGTCCCCCAGGGCTCTCCAGCCTCAGCCATCTCACCATGTTGTTCCACAGGCCACTGGCTGCACGGGCATGAGACTTGCTGCTGAAGTGGAAGCAGTCAGGAGCGAAGAAAGACCTGTCAGGCAACCCCTCCTAGTCACAGGGCAGAAAAAGGGGAGGTTTGCGGAGACGTCAGACAACACAAGTGACCTTCAGAAACAACTGTGGACTCTGCGGATTCCACTTATCCACGACGTTTTCTTTCTTTACCGGGGTCTTTGGCATGTCCACTTTTTCAAAGAACGGCTGCACAACCACCGTAAAATCTTCCCTCGTGTCATATCGCCCGCTGTCAACCAGCTGGTGGGTCCCCTCCTGAGGGAGGAAGAGGGACAGGGTCAGGGAGCAGACGCAAAGACGGGAATGTAGAGGAATTCACAGAGGCGAGGGCAGCAGCTACGGAGCTCCAAGCATCTGACAATTTGTGAGTGACAGTTGCAGTCTTGTCCTGCTTCGCCATTGGGTACTCTCTTCCTCAACCGTGGAATTAAATAGAGTCTGACCTTTGATGAGATTAATCTTCAGCAACACCTCAACCAGCTAATTATTTTTTTAGATCAACCTTTATCTAGACCCCTGCCCCAACCCCTGCTTCAGTTACATGTATTTAACACAGGCTGTGTAAACAGGAAGGTAAGGACAAGCTTAAATCTATTAGCTCGTCCTCTTTTAAAGCTATTCGGATTAAAGACTTGGTGAGGGGGATTATTTGGTTAAATGACATTCTGGATAACTGTTATGAATTGAATTGGGTCCCCAAAAAATATGTGTTGTAAATCCTAACCCCTATGCTTGTGGTTATAATTCCATTTGGGAATGAGTTTTCTTTGTTAACATGTCTTAAATTAATCTCTTTTAAGATACACAAGAGCAGGTTAAACAAGGTAGCAAGCACGCAGAGATGGGGAAATAGATGCCATGCCACATGAGCATCACCGTGATCACCAAGGAACAGAAGCTGAAAAGAGACAAGGACCATTCCCCCAGAGCCCACGGAGAGAGAAAGCCTTCCTGTATAGCCAGCACCCTGAATTCGGATTTCTAGCCTTACAAACTGTGATGGAGCCGTGGTGGTGCAGTGGTTAAGAGCTCGACTGCTAACCAAAAGGTCGGCAGCTCGAATCCACCAGCTGCTCCTTGGAAACCCTATGGGGCAGTTCTACCCTGTCCTGTATGGTCCCTTATGAGTCGGAATTGACTTGACGGCAAGAGTTTTTTTTTTTTTTTGCTAAACTCTGAGAAAATAAATTTCTGTTTGTTCAAACCACCCACTTGTGGTATTTCTGTTATTGATGGACTAAATAACTAAAGCAATAATCCTCACATTTATTTCTGTCCTCTAATTGCTTAATCAAAGGTGAATCAACAATATGTGGATGAATGCATGTTTATACTGCTTGTGCATGGTGTGCGTGTAGGTGCGTGTGTGCGTGTAGGTGCATGGTGTGCGTGTAGGTGCGTGTGTGCGTGTAGGTGTGTGTGTGTGTGCAGGTGCGTGTGTGTGTGCACGTGCATGTGTGTGCATACGTGTGTGAGCTCACATGCGTGCACATGCATGCGTCTCTTTGAGCCCCTCAGATCTCTCCAGGAGGTAACAGAGCTGTTGTCGTCACAACTTCCCCTTGGGCTCAGTTCCAGAAGGACGTTACCCCAGTTCTGGCTCCGGCTCCTGCCAGCCTCTGCTATTTCACTGCTCATCGGGGTTTCCAACACCTGGGGCCAGGAGCCTGACAGGAGAGGGAAGTCAGGCTCATGCACCCTGGAACATCAGTGTGGTCACTTCACGGGACACCGCACTCTCTCTTTCCCAGGGCCATGCAGCAAGAAAGCCCCTATGCCAGAGAGCCCTCACCTCCAAGCTCTCGGGCAGTAGTCTCCGGGCACAGAGAGTCTGAGTAAGGTATTAAGCTTGATAGGGGAAGGAGAGAGAGTGATCTCAGGAGGGAGAAAGCCATGATACCTACTAACTAGCTGGGTGACTTTCAGCAAGCCACTTTTCCTCTCTGACCCCTGTCCCCTCATCTCTAAGTGAGGATGGTGGACAATGCCAGGACCATCTCTTGAGCTCCTTCCAATGCTACTGGTTACTTTAGGGATCACCCATGGCTCACAGTGGGTGGAACCACACACCTTTTGAGAATTGAATGAAATGGTGTGTTGAGTGCCTGGCACATGGTGAGTACTCAATGACCGTGGTTATTAATAGCAATGATCATCATCACGGAGAGCGATGAGAACCATGGTGCTTGCAGGAGGTAGGGAGTGAGATGATCCTGAGAGAGGGCATGATGACCAAACATGGCTGAGCTGTGAGCATCTCCAGGACACTAGACAGGGTCTCCATGGTGACCAAGATCAGACCTGACAACAGCTGGCCAATCTAGAAAGGCCAGTGAAGGCAGTTTTGGTGACTATTTCTCATTCTCTTTGGCTGCCTAGCGCCTGAACCCACTTTCTATGTTTAAAAACTCCAGTGTATGAGAGGAAGAGCCTGTTTCCCACTGTGTTGTTGTTGTTAGGTGCCATCGAGTCAATTCTGACTCACAGCAACCCCATGTGACACAGTAGAGCTGCCCCATAGAGTTTTCTAGGCTGTAATCTTTACGGGCCCAGATCGCTGGGTCTTTCCTCCCACAAATCCTCTGGGTGGGTTTGAACTGCCAACCTTTTGGTTAGCAGCTGAGTGTTTAACTGTTGCTTCATCAGGGTTCCTTGCTTCTCACGACAGAAGCTGAAAAAGACAAATGCTTACTTTCCCAGCCTCCTCACAGCTAGGGCATGGGCACACGGCCGAGGCTCTCCCAAATTGCCGCCCCAGTCTCAGGCTTTGGGGTTGGAAGCTAGTGATAGAAAGATGCAGGGGCAGCATAGAGTCCATTTTGCTGAGGTGGCAGCTACCTCCAAGTCCTAGAAGCAGCAGCGACAGTGAAGGCCTGGGTGCCCAGGGCCAGCAATCTGAAGTGTCCGTGATGTCTTCACTGGACTAGTTCTTTGGCATGATTTTGATTCCTACCAGCCTGCCCGCGAGAATTCCATGGTAGCTTGGCCTCTGACCCTAGTTTTCTACCTTTCCAGAGATCCTACAGGCTATCTAATAAATAAACCTGCTTAAGTTAGCTAGAAACTGCATAAGCTCTTAGTGTTTGCACCTAAGAATCCCGGCTGAAATGGGTGCTCTCGTGGCCATAACCTCAGCTGCCTTTTCTCTCCTGGTGCAGGCATGGACTACCTCATTGGAGACACACGTGCCTCCTCACAGAAGAAGGAAGTACAGTTGGAGAGGCAGCCAGAGGGTTGGGTGATGGTGTCAGAGATTGATATATAGAAGTTCATTTCTCTGAGCTCCAGATCTACCAGGCAGGTGTGGCTGCCACTGAAAGAGTTTGCAGGGAAGTGGCTCTATTTCCAAGAGTCCATGGGCTTGAAGAATAAGTCCAACTCTGGAAGCTGTTTTCAGACCACTCTGGAAGGGTTGGAAGACCTACCACTGTCCTCCCAAATGACTGGGTAATCATTTGGGGGCAAAGCCAAGATAGTTAAGGGAGTCAACTGTTCTGGTAAATGATTTGATGAGACTAAAATGGACGACCACGAGATGTTTGGAGACCATCTGCTGACCCTCTCTCCCCCCGTGCTCCTGTGACACCTGTTCCCATGGAGGGGAGGGCATCCTCTGTGTGCCAGGTGCTGTGTGCAGGTTACTTCACTGCATCAGGCGACTCCCTTGGGAGGGTACTGTCTCAGCCTCCGTCTCACATCCAGAAGGCTGAAGCTCAGAGAGCTTTCTTAGCTTACTTGTCTAAGTCATACCACCAGTCAGGGTGTGGATCTGGTCAGACCCACTCTGAAATTCCTTCCCAGGACAGCACATTTCTCCACGGACAATTGAAAACACTTGTTTTCATGTGGCAGCCAGGGCTCTGAGTTCAGTGAGCTGTTTAGTCACTTGTCTCTGTAGCTTGAATGTTTGACCACAGCCCCTGCCGCCTCAAAGGTTCCTGTATCAGCTCAGTAGTCAGCAGTAATCGCACACCCAGCCAGTCAAAATTACCTGAGCATTTACTCATTTTCTGAATAGAGCAATCAAATCACACCTCAGCTTCTATGTACATCTCAGCTTACCTGATACTTTTTATTCACTTCAACGAGGGTGGCGATTTCTGTTGAGTTGTCATCAAACTCCAGGACACAGGGACACAGAGACCTGCAGACCAAACCAGAGATGCCCCACCCCACCAAAATCACGGTTCCAAATGTGTAACACAGAAGTGTTAGCTTGAGACTCAGGATATACTTCTTTTCACTTGGAGGATTCAGGAGTCTGTGCTAATGGGGCACCTGGCTGGCTAATCTGTATACTGGACTGATAAAGACAAAGAACATTTCCCAGACCTGGATTTGCTCTTGAAAATGAAGTAGTTATTTCTTCTGTCATCTGCAGGAGTGACTTTCATGGACCTGAGTTACTTTATGGCTGTGTGAGGACAGTGCTGTGCAGATGAGGTACATCTCCTTTTAAGTAACAATCTTGATGACAGTAACAACAATGAAGGCTATCGTATATTGAATGTTTACTATGCCAAGCACTGTGCTAAGAGCTTTATAGGCATTAACCCGTTTAGTCCTCACAGCCATTCTCCCATTTTATAGAGGAGAAAACTGGGGCTCATGATGGTTAAGTAACTTTCTCAAGGCCACATGAATGCTGAGTGTGGAAGCCAGGACTTGAATTCAAGTCTGTCTGGCTCTGCACCTGAGTTGTTGTTAGTTGCTGTTGAGCCGATTCTCACTCACAGCAACCCCATGTGTTACAGAGTAGAATCTCTCATGGGGTTTTCTTGGCTGTGATCTTTATGGAAGCAGGTCGCCAGGGCTTTTCTTCCACAGCACCCTTGGGTGGGTTTGAACCACCAACCTTTAGGTTTGCAGTTAAGCACAAACCTTTTGTGCTGCTTAGGGACCTTCCTGAGTTCTTAACCTCTATATGAAATTTCTTCTGTCCAGTCTGCAACTCTGACTGTAGGCAATCATTTGGCAAATCTAGGCTAGATCCTGGGGGACAAGGCTACAATGTGCATGGCTCACTGTAGATTCAGCACCATGGAGGGAAGCACAGCCCCTGAGACACAGAACACCCAATAGGTAGGGGAGGGCAGGCACAGGAGAGGTGGCAGGCTGGGGTGGCCCTGAGTCTGCCTTACCCTGACATTCAGTGGTTTGGCTATTTCAGTTCTGAGAACAACCTGGCAAATGTTGACTCTGAACCTTTAGTTTCAATGGTCTAAAAAGCCCTGCAGGGCTCGGTGGTAACAGACTTCTTCCATGAGCAGCTCTGAAATTGAAAGAACACGCTGAGCCCCCCGTGTGGCCAGTGACTGTGGTAAGTGGGAGCCGGGGTATGAATCAGCAGCTGAAAACAGTAGCCTGACACCAGCTGCGGTAATAGACACGTATCGTCCAGGCTGTCCTCCCTCTGCTCTGGCCTCCTGAGGCCTTCCCCAGGGAGCCTGTGCAGCCTGGGCCCCCAGGTGAGCTTTGGCATGTATCTGCAGGGGAGCAGCCAAGGTACTCCTTAATTTCCAAGAGCAAATCTGGCCCTTGTGAATTATTCATTCAGTCATTCAGCAACCAGCTTCCGAGCCCTTACGCTGTGCTAGCAGTGACTCAGACCCCAAGTTCACAGGCTGTGGGGGAGAGAGGCTCATGAACAATGACCACGAGATGTGCTCAGGGCTATGGTGGAGGCCCCACAGAGCTGGGTGGAGAGCATGGGGGCAGAACACCACTAACTCAGGGACACAGGACAAGGACCTGAGCTAAAGGTCCAGAGGAGGACCTGCAGGAAGGCACGTGGGAAATGTTCATGCCTAGGTTAGAAGGATGTCTTATTTCTGAGGGTGATAGAGACGTGTAACACTCAGGGGAAGCCGTCTTTGTTTGGCTCCGAAGGCTGAGGAATGAAGAAGACCTGGGTCTTCCCAGGACCAGGGCTCCCTCTTTTCTGGGGAAGACACTGTCCTCTGGGCCCTACTGATTCTGATTTGACCACATACTCCTCTAGTAGGTGGCTATGACTCTAGCTTTGTGAATGCCCAGCCTAAGCACTCATAGCTGTCAGAGGTCCCTCTGTCCTGGAAGTGGCTGCCCAGAAGGGGTGAGGAAGCTCCAGACACACTCAAAAGCAGGTCCTAGCAGAGGCCTGGGCACTCCCTGAGGCTTGCCCACACTGGCTGGCTCCATTCCTTCCTCTCTGGAGATTCAAAGGTATCAGGGGGCTGCCAGAACAATGAAATCAGGGTTGGGGTTGTAAACACACACCCCGAGGGCCGGTAGCTGAGGTCCATCTTGGGGTCACAAAACCATGGCATGCTCTCTCCGTTAGACCTTCTCAGGTTAGAAAACGGGGTGGTCCCAGCCCCTCTCACACTCTGCCCTAGGGTTTTCTCACTAATCAGAGCCACTTTCTGCTAAGGACCCCATAGGCCTTTGGGAACCAGGTAAAGAAGCTCCCATCTCACCTGAGGATCAGCTTTGGGCAGCTGACTTTCTCCTCTTGGTACAGCTCCCTCAGGGTGACGATCTTCAGCACCGACACCAGGTTCACAAAAGCCCGAGGAACCTGAGGAAAGACAAATTCAGTCCCTGAGAGGACCCAGGCTGTGCAGCTCCAGCCTCTTACCTGGTTCTGGGGCCTTCTCCTCCTACTGGTCTATCAGGTCTATATGAAATTTCTTCTGTCCAGTCTGCAACTCTGACTGTAGGCAATCATTTGGCAAATCTAGGCTAGATCCTGGGGGACAAGGCTACAGTGTGCATGGCTCACTGTAGATTCAGCACCATGGAGGGAAGCACAGCCCCTGAGACACAGAACACCCAATAGGTAGGGGAGGGCAGGCACAGGAGAGGTGGCAGGCTGGGGTGGCCCTGAGTCTGCCTTACCCTGACATTTCCTTTATCCCCGCCGCCCCCACCCCTCCATTGATTCTATGATGGGCAGTCTGCGCTGGTCTCCAGGTAAGGGTGCCCTGCCAGGAGGTCTCAGCAGGAAGTCAGAGCTGCCTCCAGGTTAGGTCTGGGGCCCAAGTTGAGGCTGTGACTAAGCTACTTAGAGGCTGTGCAGCTCAGGCTGTGTACCTCAGCGTGGAGGATGTCCAGAGCCTTCCCAATGTTGTCCGTGAAGTTCTGGGGAGAATAGCGAACCTATAGGAAGAGGAAGGGTCTCTTTAACACATTTATCATCAGATCTCCCTACAGACCAGGGTCACATCATTTCTTGGGTCCCCAACTTTCTGTATTCCAGTCAGAGTGGGCAACAATGAGACACACGGGTGTCCTTGGAGGCCCCAGCCTCCTTATCACCCCACAGCCCTGGGGCTTGTCATGGTTGTGATCCTCAGGGATCCACGCATCTTCTGAACAGAGTTACGGAAAGCTCTGGATCCACTCCATGGCAACTAGCTGTAGGGCCTTAGCTAAGTCACATCACCTCTCTGGCTCCTTCTAAAATAGGGGTGTTGGACCAGATGACCTCAAGGTCCCTTGCAGTTTGAGCAGTCTCTGGTCCCCTGGCCTGCCCTCTTCTCCTTAGGGCCTCAAACCTCTGGGGATACACACTCTAAACAAATCGCCTAAGGAGATAATGGGAAGGGAAGTGGGTCCCGTGACCTCGCCCTTCCAAGTAGCATAAACACGTTTTAACTGTTATTTCTCCTGATCTCAATACTTGTTCTTTCTCTGAATGAAATCTAACCCAGACCCTGATATACTAAACAGATCAAAGCTGCAGCAGTCACAACTTGAAAACTCCTGACTCTGGTGGCTCTGAGCCTGGGAAAGTGGCCACAAGGGAGCAGGAGACAGGGTCATCCCTCTGGGCAGGTGCCCACAGGTCACAGCAGACTCACCACTTCCTAAACTTGGCTCTGCTAGTTCCCTTTCTGCATGACACATGTATTCATCTTCAAGTTCTAGTTGGAAAGCCTCCTGCTGTCTGATGGCACCCCCTAAATTCCCATGGCAATTTTAACGTTTGATCTCTCTTCCGAGTGCATCACTAGAACCACACTGATGTTTTTCCTGCTGTGTTATGGTGAATTGTCTGTGTCTCACTCCCCTGACAGTGGGCGGTCCTTGAGGACAGGGCCCGTGTTTCACCTGTCACCACTTGGCTTCCAGCACAGTGCCTGGCATATGTTACATGCCCAGCAAATGGTACTAGAAATGAAAGATGATCTGTTTATCAGAAAACACTATAAACAAACTTAAAAAGTAGACAAGATAGGCAACATATTTGACAAAGATGCTTAAGATAGAGGTTTTAAAAAAGCAATAGGAAAAAGATGACTGTCTCAACAGAAACTGGCCAATAGCCATGATAGAGAATTTAATAAAAGGAGAAATTCAAATGAGTATCAAGCAGAGGGAAATCAAAGTTTATTCCTACCTAGTAATCAAATAAATGCAAATTCTGAAAATGAGATGCAGTTCTTCATCTGTCAGATTAAACCCAAAACCAAAACCAAACCCGTTGCCATTGACTCTGACTCATAGCGACCCTATAGGACAGAGTAGAACTGCCCTATAGAGTTTCCAAGGAGTGGCTGGTGGATTCTAACTGCTGACCTTTTTGGTTAGCTGCCAAGACTAGCATCTATTAAAAAGAAAGACAGCATACATTATCATTTGGGGTGTGGGGAAGCAGGAGTACCAGTACAAACTTTCAGAAAGCGTTTGAAAATACGTATCCAAAGAATTAAATTGTGTATATTCACCAAAACATAAGATGGATGAATAGATAGGTATGTGTTAAAGTTCATATAGCAAAATATTAACAATTACAGAATCTAGGTAGGGGGTATTTAGGTATTTACTCTACAATTCCTTCCATTTCTCCATATGCTTAGAAATTTCCACAATAAAATGTTAGGGTAAATATGCATATCTTTTTGTCTAAAAATCTTACTTCTTAGAATCTATTGTAAGGAAACAATTATGGATGTACACAAAGATGGATATTAATCACAGTGTTATTTAAAATAGGCAAAATTAGAAGTACTGTAAGCTAAGTATTCAACAATGAGGAATAGTTAAGTAAATTATGGCCCATTTATATTATAAACTTTGATACAGTCTTTAAGAATTATTCCATAGAAAAATATATATTGATCATGGGATATCTTCTCAATGTATTCCTAATCAAAAAAACCAGGTTACCAAACAATGTTTTCAGAATGATACGATTTTTAGAAAATAAAGCAATTTGTCTGTATCCACAGAAAATGTTAAACACTCATTTACCAAAATGTTAACAATGGCTATTAGAGATTTTTTTCTCTGTACTTTGATGTGTTTCTTGTATATATTGCATATAATATTTTTTATTTAAAATTATAATACATTTATTATTTATTTTATTTAAAATAATAATAAAACTATTATTTTTAAATTCAATTGAATTGAACGTAAAAGAGGGTATAGGCTTGCCCAGCACAGGTAGAAGAGGTAGAGTTAGGGAGGCAGATTTGGGCTCAACACAAGGAAACACTAAAAGAGCAAACGAAAGATCTGCCCATCACTGGGGATATTAAGCAGGTAGATTCTATGGAAGGGATTCCTTCCATGGTGAGAGACTGGTTAGAAAGGCCTGTGGGTGTCTTCTAGCTCAGAGATTCTGGGGTTCCAGGAAGAAGAGCCACACCCACAGCAGCAGCTTCAATCACGGGGTTCCCATCAGCCCAGCACGACCTCTTTCAGAACCTTGCCTCATGCTTGTGCCTAGAAGTGACAGCACAAAGTTGGCAACGGAGAGGCTGTTGAACACTGGAGAAAGGAGCTGACTTATATGGTGGCACAGTGGTTAAGCGTTTGGCCGCTACCCAAAAGGTTGGCAGTTCAAATCTACCAGCTGCTCCTTGGAAACCCTATGGGGCCATTCTACTCTGTCCTATAGGCAACAGGTTTGTTTGTTTTTTTATGAAAATATGCAAGATTTTTCTAGATCATTGGAATGCTATCTTGGTTTCTAGAATGATACCAAGCTCCCTTGATAGGAAACCTAATAAGGATCAATCTCAAAAGTAGTTTTGCATGTCCTGTTGAATCTCTCCCTGGAGGTGAATGCCCTGTCAGTCTCAGGGTTCATCCAAGGCTGGGTCTAGGCCAAACCATGAGTCCTAGTCCCAGCTCAGCTGCTCTGCTCCATGATCCAGCAACCTGGGGCTGTTGGAGATCCTTCCCTGGGAGTGAGTCTTGAGTTAAGGGCCTTGGAGACTTACCGGGTCGTTGCAGAAACCACAGAGGTCATTGCTGCCTATAAACACGGTTATTATCTTCCAATCTTCCTGAAAATTTATCCTCTGAAACAAATAGGAAACAAACAAGTAAGCACCTTGTCCCAAAGTCAAGTAAATGAAGACACAAAGTGCTGAACACTAGGAGAGATTGGTCCCCAATGGAGGATTTAGTAGACGTTCATATTTTTTCTCTTTGGTTTTGGGGTCTCGAGGTCATAGGGATTTGGTAGGTGCTAAATGGTTCAATTTTTCCCCCCATGGATCACTGGACTTCCCTGTGGCTGTACCCACTCGTAGGGACTGGACACTGATGCTCACCAAGCTTCATCCCTCTCATCTCTAGCATAGCAAGGAAAGAGGGGGAGGATAGGGAAGGCTGGTTCTGGCTATGGGAATGGAGGCCATTTGTTCTGGGATCTTCTGGAAATCTTCTGTCTTAATTTTGCCTTCAGGGAGAAAGAACCATCTTCCATTAAGAGGAAGCTCTCCTAACTTATGTTATGCACGTGAGTTAAAACTGCTCATGAGCAAATCAAGCTGGAGAGGCTGGGAAGAGGAAGGCGGAAGCTCCAACTGTGTGCTCTGAAAGGATTTTGCTGCCTTTGGGATCTGCCTACTCCAAGGGAGACCTAGGGAAGTATTTGAAGGCACCAGGCTGGGTGGAAGGGGGACTAGCCATACCCATGCACCACACTGTGGCCTAAGGGCAGCTGTGGCTCTCACAGCCTCTTATGCTGCACAGCTTGGCCTTCCCTGAACTACACTTCCAAAGAGGATAGTAGGAGAAAGATGAAAAAAAAAAAAAAAATCCAAAATTTTCTGACATTAAGGGTACGAAGAGTCCATTAAACTACATACAAAATAACTAATCCCATCTCTTGCCCTTTGCACACCCCTTTAATTATTTTATCCACTTTGCAGCTCCAAGAAAAGTCTGAATTGAGAACCCTGCTTTCATCTGCGGGAGAACCTCATATTCACCCTTCAGAACCCAGCTTAAACCTCCCTGGCCTTCGCAAGCAGAGGGGCCTGTCCTTTTCTCTGTGCTACCAATCCAGCTTATACATAGCACTGTTTATAACACGTGTGAACTGTTTCATAACTCGCGTTCTTCATGCTGGCCTCCCCTATGAGCTCCATGAGGGCAGGCACTGTGTAATATTTTCTGTGACTCTCCAGCACCTGGCCCAATGCCTGAGGCATGATGTTTAATGTAAATTGCCGACTGAATGAAAGAATGAATGACTGAACAAATAAATGAGAACCCCTTTACCAGAGGAGTCGAGTTTCAGACTTCAGATATGTCTGTTAGAAGCCTGGCCTGGCTCCCAGTACCCCCTCCCCCATAGCTGACCCCCCTGCCTCCATGGATCTCTCCTGCCTGCTCCCTTCTCCAGGAAGTCCCACCCTGCGTGGTCCCAGGCAGCACCTCCTATACTTACCGTGTCATTCTTCATCAGGTCCACCAGCCTCCTGGCCTGGGTGGCTAAATCCCTGCAGACACACACAGGAAGAGGTCGTGTGAGGAGTGGGGACTACGGGGCTGGGGCAGGGAGGAGAGCTAGCAGACAAAGCAGGAATCAGGTATGCAGCAGGAGGGTCCAGGTTGGCCTCTCGCAGGAAAATTGGACTGAAGGCCGTGCCCCACAGAGCTCCGTCCCCTCGGCTCCCTGGGGTGGGGTGCATGAAGGTGCTCTGGGAAAGGCAGAGCACTGTACACAGAGGGAGCAACTGTTTGTTCCATCATCTTCTGACTGGTGTAGGTGATTACATAGTTTCCTCTCTCTCCCGAGCCAGGCTTGTTCAGGGCAAACAGAAGGCCTGTGTGTAAGTACTTCATGTTTCATGTCACGCACGGCTCGGCATGTGACCATTTCCATAGGTGTCATGACTTCAGCCCCCTCACCCTCAAGGTGACATGGTTGAGTCAGACACACCTGGATTTGGTTCTTTGGTGCCTCTTGTTAACTAGGAAAGTGGCTTAAGTTCTTAGTTTAAAAAGATTGCAGAAATGGAGGTAACCCCCACCCCATCTTAGAGGGTCAGCAGGGGAGTACATGAGATGGGTAAAGCAGCCCCATGGAGCCAGCAAGAACCACTACTGGCTGCAGACAGCATGGGTTTGAATCCTGGTCCCACCACTGGCCAGCTCTGAGATCTTGGCAGAGGGTTTCACCTTGTAAACCTGTTTTCTCCTTTGTAAAATTGGGGGGGGGGGCGGTAAACATCCCTCTGCGTAGAGTTGTTGGGAGGATTAAATGAGGTGCCATGTAAAGAACTTAGAACAGTGCTTGGCCCATGTGCGCACCGATTGAATTAGTTCTATCATCACCACCACCACCATCATCATCATCAATAAAGTCCCTGACATAGTGCCTAGCAGGAGACATTTGTGGTCATCCTGTACCCTTTTAACTGTTAGTCCAGCTAGCCTGGTCATGGTCAGACTAGGTATCAGATAACCTGGATAGAGAATCTGGGTAAGCACTGAATGTCTTTGAGCCTCAGTTTCCTCATCGGTAAATACGGAGTTATCAGGGCAGCTGCTCTTTCTATGAACTAGAGTTTTGTGATGATTATGCAACCTCTCTGAATCTTAATTTCATCATTAATAAGAAATGGGAAGGCCGCCCTCTGCTCTGTCCATCTCAGAGTTATCGCATGAAACACATGGGGTGAAAACACGAAGGTCCTGTATAAATTGTGCACTGCTGTGCATGTATAAGAGTTATCATCTGACCTGGAATAAAACCTGCAGTGCACAAGGACAGACCATGTGGTCGAGTCATTGCATGTGTTCTGGACATTTAGCTTCTTTGTGCTACGGTTTCCTCATCTGTAATACAGGAATAATAATGCCCAACTCTCCCCTACCACCCAGGGGTGTGCTTGGACAAATGGATTATTTGCATGAAAGAACCCCAGGGCTGGGGGAAAGCAGGGACATATGAATTGTACTCAGCTTTGGTAGCTTTTGTGCTGTAGACTCTAAGGTTCCAATCTCGGATGGCTTCCTGAACTAATCATGCTTAGAACTACCTCCCTCTTATACCATCAGCCGACATATGCTTGGAGAAAACAAAATTACGGTCATATTAAAGTAAGTCAAAATTTCAAACTGTAAATTGATAAACTTCCAATCCCAGTCCTGCCAAAAGGAGGGGGAAAAAAAAAAAACAACCCACAGAATTCATTGTAAACCCTATTTTTAGGTATTGTATGATCTGTGCTTTGGATAATCTATGTCACTGTGTCACCTCCCCTGTCTTCGGTAAATGAGAAATCTGTTCAGGTGGCTCATAGCCTCAGGATGGCATTGAGAGCCAGGAGAATCGTGTCAGGGAAGATAGGGACCACACAAGGTGTCCCTAGGAACTGTATGGTGGATTTACACCCAGCCAACTGGTGTAGGAGCCCCACATTTTCCAGCAGTAAAACGAGGTTTGTAATTCTTCTGAAAGAAAAATAGAATCAAAGGACGAAAACGGTCTTTTCATTTATTTTTCCTAGATTGGGTATAGAATTTACATATTCTCTAACCATGTAGCAGACCCAAAGCAGCACTCAAGGCTCTGGGATCTTGGAGAGAAGTGGAGCCGAGCAGCCTGCTCTCAGGCCCATGTGACAAGGCACACTGGTCCCTGGGCTTACTCAGAGTTTTCTGCGGGGGGCGAGGGAGTTCTGCAGCCCTGCTGGATTGTTGCTGTGACCACAGCATATGCATACTGCTGACCCAACACGTGGACACCGTCTACAGCTCGCCAGAACGTTCACGTCTGAGATGGCAGCTGAGCCTCCCAACCAGCCCCACTTACAGGCTGAGGCTTAGAGGGCTGGGGTGGGGGAGAGGATGCAAACGCGGGGCTACCCCTTCCAGGACTGATTCTCTTCCCATGACGCAGGAAGGAGGCAAAGTCTGGAGCCTGAAAAGGCTGCCCGAAAAGCGTGTCTGAGAAAGGCAGGGAGAACACAACTCTAAGACGGGGGCGCTGATACAGCGTAAAAACTGGGAGTCAGCTGTGATCTACAAAGTCACATCTTATGTTGGCGTCCCAGTCAGTTGTGACTAGTTCTCTGGGGGAAGCATTGGGGGCTAGCAGGTTTCTGTGTCCGACAGCAAGGGATGTCCCTGGGAGAGCCCTTTGACTCTCAGACCCTCCCCTGGGCCTGCCCAACTAGTCCTGCACCATACACCCCAGTCTAGGTCAAGCCCCTCCAGGCCCCCGAGGCCCTTGTTGTCCACCCCCAAGGCTCCCTTCCTCACTCAGCTCGTTCCCCTGCCACGGCCTGGTTGAGGAAGGCTCCTGCACTGCTTTCTGTCCCGGTGCCAACAGAGAAGCCCGTCAGGGAAGGGTTGAATTCCCGGAGGATGTCTGCAAATACAAGGAAGAGACGTGCTTGGTAACTTCCCGAAAGCAATCTTCAAGTCCCTTTGATCAGCTCCAGTGTGTACTGGGGACAGAGCAGAGCCCCCAGCCCCCAGCCCTCACCTAAGAAGTTTCACTCAACACTGGAACAAAATGTTCAGCAGGTAGATGCTTAACCACGTCAGCAGCACACAAACCATTCGCCTTTGCATTGATTCCGACTCATGGCAATCCCATGTGTTTCAGAGCAGAACTGAACTCCATAGCGTTTTCGTGGCTGTGTCCTTTTGGAAGTAGATCACCAAACTACTTTTGGGTGGGTTCGAACCACCAACCTTTCTGTTAGTAGCTGACCATTTGCACTACTCTGAGCCGCACACAAAGCCCATTGACATCAAGTCGATTCCAACTCATGGTGACCCCATGTGACAGAGTAGAACTACTTCGTAGGGTTTTCTTGGCTGTAATCTCTATGAAGCAGATCACCAGGCCTTTCTTCCATGGCACTGCTGGGTGGATTCGAATCACCAACCTTCAGGTTAGTAATCAAGTGCAAGGTGCTTAATTGTTGAATAAATGTGAGACTGAGTAAGGTACTTCTCTCATGACTTTTTCTTTTTTTCTAAATGTATAATAGCTTTATCGAGTTCTGATTCACGTACCATAAAATTCACCAAAGTGTACGGTTCAGTGGTTTTTAATATATTCAGAGTTGTACACTTTCATCACTCCCCCCCACAAAGACGTGTACCTATTAGTAGTCACTCCTCATTTTCTCTCAACCCTCCCAGCCCATGGCAACCCAAAACCTACTTTCTATCTCGATAGATTTGCCTCTTCTGGTAGATAGCAATGTCCTCTCTCTTTCATCGCCGATACGAGTAATTTGAGTCTTCTCTGTCTCTCTGTCTCTCTCACTCTTCTTGGTCTAGCTAATGGTTTGTCAATTTTGTTGACCTTTCAATCTCATGCATATCTAAAGCCTACCACACTGAATCTACATTTGAATGTTTACTTTCAAAATTTGGCTGAGATCCTCACATAATGCTCAATAAATATTTATAGACTGAATTAGGAATAAATCAAAGTCCAAATAGGCTAGGAGGATTGTTCAAAGTCACAAAGCTACTTCGAATGGCATCCCAGACTAGAACCCTGGTTCATTTCTGACACAGGGCACTTGCCCCTGACCCACAACCTGCTAGGATATGGGACAGGAACTGGCTGGGCATCAGGTGTTGGCCAGAGCTTCAGGGCCCCATGTTATCCATCTTATGTTCTCTAGAAGCAGGCACTACTGCAGGACTACACAACACAGATGGATTGAACACACTCCTTGTGGCTTTCGTGGACATTGTACCAATGGATGGAAATTCCTCTGATTTCTACTCAATAGAAGGAAGAACCGAAACCACCAGAGCTATCTGAAAATGGAGTGGATTGTCCTAGGAGGTGGTAGGTTCCCCACTGCTAGAGGAATCCAGCACAGGCTAGCTACTTACCAGGAATGTCATAGACTAGGACTACACATCGGATAGGGCAACAACTTGCTAGTACGTGCAGTTATCTGTGCCAGGAATGTTCCATCCCTTTTCCTTAGCTGCTAAAGTCTAGCTCTTCAAGCCCCTTTTCAGAAGACACTGTTAGCAGCCTTTTTATTTTTTCCAAAACACTGTACATGGCTGTAATTATTGGTTCATGTCTTTGGAGAGACATGTCCCCAAAGAGACTTTGCAGAAGGCATCAGGGCAGGGTCTTTGCCTCACTCCCCTGTTTCCCCGGCACCCAGCACTGGAGAATTTGCTGGATTAAACTGAATAGGGGGTTGAGCTGAGGCTCTGTTCTGACTCTGTGTCCTTGTAGTTTTTCTACTGCATCTCCAGGTAGTTACTGTCCCCTAGTTTATCCAGCCCTTCCTATCTCTTCAGCAAGGAGAAGCCCGAATAGGCTGTCTTCATTGCTGGGCCAAGTGTATCAGGGGAGTCCCCCTGAGGAGTGACACTGTCCCTGAGGAGTGATATTATCCCAGTCCTCTGCAGATCACTTTGGTGATCATCTTGTCCTCGATAAAAGCAGGGGAAATAGCACAGCAAGCTGTTGTATATGTTGGCCGCCTCACAGCCCAGTGAATCACACTCACAAAGCATCACAAAACCATCTCCTAGCAATAGAGGAGCTTATTTATAGACCCTGTGTGTAGACCTAGACGTGAAGAAGACAGGGAGTACTTGTGGCACAAAACTGTACCTACTTAAATTCAACAGAATTTGCAAAAAGCAAAAACAGAGCAAATGTGGTTACAAATATGAAGTCTGATCAGCTCTGCTGATGTGAAGATTCAGCCTGCCCTGTTGCACAAACCGTTTGCACTCAGCTACTAACCTAAAGGTTGGCGGTTCGAACCCACCCAGCGGTGCCATGGAAGAAAGTCCTGGCAATCTGCTTCCATAAAGATTACAGCCAAGAAAACCATACGAAGCAGTTCTAGTTTGTAACACGTGGGGTTGCCATGAGTTGAAAGTGACTCAACAGCAACAGGTTTGTTTCTTGGATCATCATAGTCTTGGTGACTTTAAATAATTTCTTCACTTCTAAAGACATATTACAAAAGCATTGGCACAAGAAAAGTAACCGAGAACTGGACCAAGTAAACTCCTCTCAGGCAAAATTATTACCCAGAAGATTTTAAGGGAAAATAGTTAAATTTAAACATTTATCGCATGTGTACTTTAAGAACAAGCGCTATGGCATACATTAAGGAGAAGAGAAAGATGAATAAGACAAGATCCTTCAGAGAATGTAGTCAGACTTTAAAAAAGATCATTCCACACAGGTTGTGGGTGAAGTAATTTAAGAAAAATGTTCAGTCCCAAATATGGCTAGTCTTGTACAGCCTGAACAAGGTAACCTCATCTCTTACCGCTGCAGTAGCAGCGCTTCATAAAGCAACACGCACGAACTTAAGGTCTTTGTACAATGTAGTGTCCAACGCAGCCCACCCTAGCTCCGCGCCTCCTGCGCCTGAGAGGTGCTCTGCTCAGGATGATAGGCAAAGCAGAAAAGGTTTCCTTTCCTTCTTTCTTGAACCACTTCTTAATGATTTGTATTAAAATTTGATCTGAGCTCTCTTTTCCTTTTCCTCTCTTTCTTACTCTCTTCCTTCCTTGGACAAATATAATTCCTCTTTAAAAAAAAAAAAAAGCTCCAAGGCTTTAATCACTCGCAAGAAGCAGAGCAAGGGCGGCAGCCTTGGGGAAGCAGCGCCCCCTACTGAGCCTGGCGGTTCCTGCCGTCCGTGGCCCCATCCCAAATCGGCGTCTGCCTCCAGGGGGAGCAGTTGAAACGCGCAGATTAAGCTCCTTCAGCCTGCCCCTAAACCATCCAGGGAGCAAGTACTCACTTGCCAAGGTAGTGACTGTGCTTATGTTCTGATCTCCACCAACACTGTTTTTTGGAAAGAAAAATAGTGAAGGTTAAAATGCCAGACAGGCTGAAACATTTCAAACACTACCAAGAAGAACGACTTTTCTTTTTCTGAAAACAAACAAAAACCTTGTAGGCTTGGAACTTGCCTTTTCCTCATTATTCCAAAACAAGCCAGAATACTGTAACTCCTCTCCCCACACATCTGAAATCCTGATTTAAACTGTAATCATTGATTTAAAAAAAGAAATTTTTTTAACTTTGAGCTCTGGCATTGGGGCAGGGAAATCAAGTGGGCCCTTTCACTTGCATCTTCCAAAGAGAAGGTGGCCCCTCTTTGGATACAGAGCCCAGCCCTACCCTGACTAGCCACTGCAGTGTGCATCATCATCATCATTATTGATGATGAACACAGTTATTGAACACAGTTCAAGGTTTGCTCCACTCTTTCTCTTCTGTTTGGCTTGGGGAAGCCTGTTTTTAGGGTGTCGTCTAGATACAAACCATCTTCCAAGACAATAATTCTAAAATACAAGGGAGATCAAAGTTCCATGGGTTTCTAGGCATGAAAAGATGCAGCTTTCCAGAGCTGACTGGATTCCAAGCTTTCCGATCTCCCCTCGATCTGTGCCAAGCACGTCTGGGAACATTTAAAAGGCTTTCAAAATGTTTGGGGTTTAGCTCTGTGCAGCAACATGGGGAGGACACCAGAGCTTCAGTACTCAGGTAAAAGCTGATGCCAGACAGAGATGCCAAATTCTAGGCTGAGGAAACACCACACCTGCCCGGCCATGATTGGCAAGGCTTTCAAAGCAGAGGTAAAGCTGAGGTCCTGCTCGTGCAGCTGTGGCAGCCTGGGTTCGACCACAGCCAGAACAAACAAGCCGGCATGGAGCGAACCATCTGTTCTACTTCTTACTCTTCTACCATCTGGTTATGTGATCTTGGACAGGTTACTTCCCTCTCTGAGCTTTGTTTCCTCCTCTGTGAAGTGAAGGCTCTTTAATAATGATGCCAGCTATCCTTCATACCTACGCTGTCAGGCCCTGTGCTGGGTATTTAAATTCTCTCTAATCCTCACCATGGAGTCCCTGGGTGGTACAAACAGTTAATGTGCTTGGCTGCTAACTGAAAGGTTGGAGGTTCAAGTCCACCCAGAGGTGCCTCAGAAGAAAGGCCTGGTAAGCTACTTCTGAAAAATCAGCTATTGAAAACCATGTGGAGCACATTTCTACTCTGACACATCTGGGGTCACCATGAGTCAAACTTGACTCCAGGGCAACTGGTGCTGGTGATACTCCTCACTACAGCACTATTGGGCAGGATGATTATCCATGCATCTGTGGAGACAAGCTCAGAGAGGTTAAGTAACTTGACCAAGGTCACATAAAGCTGGACAGCTGGGGCTCAGACACAGCTCTGGTTCCACAGACAGTAATCTGTGCATCACTTAAACCCCTGCCTCTCTCTGATATTCCACGTCACAAAGGGAGGAAGGGAAGCTGGAGAAGCTTTCCCAACCTTAATGCTTCCACAGTTTCTCCCCCAAACTCCTCCTGCTCAGCCTCAGCTCCTGTTTTTGGGAAGGTTGTGGCCTGAGGAAGCTGATAAACATCTGCTTCAAATTAAACCTAGGAGTTTGTCACAGAAAAGCACTAACTAGGTTGTGACTCATTCCTCTGCTGGAGGAATTGTTTTCTAAAATGCTGGAGGGCTTCCTCTTCCCTGCAGTGAAGCGAGTCTTCAGGGCCTAGCCACACCCTCACCCACCTCCAGGACAGGCCTCGGTACTGAGTAAGGACATCCAAGATGTTCCAAGACTTGGATCCGGCTCCATTACCTGCCTGAGAGGGAGCGACAAGGGAGTAAGTTTCCTCGGCTTATCCCGTGGCCCCACCTTTGCCCACCTGCCAGAAGGCCAGGTTCTGGTCCTGGCCAGGAATGCCAGGGCACACTCCAAAATCTGGAGTCTAGACAGCAGTAAGTCTTGTGTGCATCCTGCCTCTTCAGAGGTGAGTGACCACTGTCACTGGGGATGCCTGGCTCTGTTCACAGCTCTGCCTCATTCCAAGAATGCCTGGACCAACATCAAGTGAAACCAGGCTAGCAAAAGTAAGCTGACAGTTTTACCATGGTGTGTACTTTGAAACTGACACATTTCAGGGTGCTGCTTTCCTCATGTTTTAAAGTTGTAAAACATTTCATAAAAGAAAGCATATCATAATCGTTTCATATAAACACACCTCACATATGTACAGCTTAAAAAATAGTAATAGAATGAAATCCCATGTACCCACCACTCAACTCAGAAATAGCATCTATTTTAAACCACAGTATAGACCACTTGCAAACCCTGGTGGCGGAGTGGTTAAGTGCTATGGCTGCTAACCAAAAGGTCAGCAGTTTGAATCCACCAGGCGCTCCTTGGAAACTCTATGAGGCAGTTCTACTGAGTCCTATAGGGTCACTATGAGTCAGAATTGACTCGATTGCAACAGGTTTTTGTTTTTAGGGACTACTTTACAGGTTTATGACCATTGTCCAAAGCCTGTTATTTCTAGCAGGGCTGTTCCAAAGGTTAACTGAACACTGGCCTCCCAGGCAGCCTGGGGGTGAAGGCTGACTACAGGCAGAGGGCCCCCAGGGAGTGATCCCTATTCTGTACCCCATTTCTTTGCCACCTGCCAGCTGTGTCACACTCAGAGAGCTGCTTCCCCAGGCAGGCCTGCACAGCTGTGCTGATTCCTGATGGTCCTCATCCTGAGAGCATCTTTAAGGAGACCATGAAGCTGGGGGAAGGTGGTAACAGCCACACCCAGCAGGAAGTGGAGGAGAGAAGCAGTATGGAAGGTCCAACCACCAGGCTGCCTGTCCTTACTCCCTGAAGGTTGTGAGCAGTAGGGCCTTTAGGGTCAGGAGACGGGGAGGGGTCATGGAGGAGGCAGCTACATTGCAGGGATAGAACTCTGGACTTAGTGTCAGGATCCCTGAGTTCTGGTCCCAGGCCCAGCACTTATAAGCTATGTGGCCTTCTAAATTTAAGCAAAGTCATACTTTGCAGGATTTTGTTGTGAGGCGATTGAGTGAGGTAATATAAATGTGAACAGGCCACAGGTGTCAGGTGGCTGGGGAGGATTCAGCTGTAGGCCCTGCGTTCTATTGACCCAGAGAACAATAGCTAGACTAGTCGGTAATGAATTGCTACTGAGTGGGAAGCTTGTGCCTGGGAACCTCTGGGACCCAACCTGCAGGCGCCTTGTGGAGCCCGAGGTATCAGTGTGGGGCAGCTGCAGAGGTGGGCTTGTATCATCTTTACCTCCGCCTCTTCCACTGACCCACTTTCTCAATGTGCCCCTCTCCACCCCCATTACCACCTGTCCCTATATCACCATCTTTGCTCCTCTCCTTGGTACCCTTCATTTGATTCCTACGTGGATAAACTAAGCACCAGAGGTTTGAAGGACCCTATACCGTGGTCATGAGACCTAGTCTAATCCTGCCCCCACCACTGACAAGCTGTGTAATTTGGGGTGCTCCCTCTGGGGTCCCTCCACTTCTGGCAGGCATGGCCTGCTCTCTCCTTCATCCCGGTATTAGAAGAGGAATGAGGAAGTGAGATTGGAGGTGGGCAAGGAATGCTACTGGGTTCCAGGGTGGGAAGTGGGTTGAGAGAAATGGAGATCAGGACCACGGATAGCAATGTTTACGAGCAAGGAGTGAGAATTTTCTCTCTCCATTTTCCTCTCCAGGTTCTCATATCAATCAAGGTCTTCTCCACTCCCACCTGCCCTTCTACATTCAGAGTAACTCACCGTGAGAGAGTCGCCCATGGCTCCAATTACCTTGATGTCAGCTGGCTTCAACCTGTGAACTGAGAACACAAGCAGGAGTGAATGGAAGATCAGGGTTCCAGGAAAGCACTGGGCCCATCTCTTCTGGAAACAAATAAAGATCTTCCAGACAAACTGAGGGGAAGACAGTTTTTAATAGCAAATCAGTGTGGACAAGAGAGATTAAAAGTCCATCTTTACCAATCAGGTGCAGCAATGCCAGTCATGGCGCCTGGTTGTTGGTCTCCACCCTCAGGCAACTGGAGGATGTCAATGATGCAAGGGGGCTGCTGAAAGGCAGGCCCAGCTTTAAGAGGAGCTGTGTCCGCTGGCATTGGGTGAGACCTGACAGGCACCAGATGAGCAATCACTCTCAGGGCATGAGCTAGCCCTTGCCAGTGTGGTTGGGGAGTAGGAAAGGACTGCGATGAAGATGCAACCAATGTTTAATCTATCCCAGGACCTGATGATGTTTGGGATAGAGTATTATATCATCCTATAACAATCAGCTCAGTTGCTTTAAAGTAAAAAGGAAAACGGTTTTGTACCACTGACTCTATTTTTTTTATTTTATTTTATCATGTTTTAGGTGAAAGTTTACAGAACCAGATAGTTTTTCATTCAAAAATTTATACACAAATTGTCTTGTGATATTGGTTGTAATCCCCGCAATGTGTTGGCACTCTCCCCCTTTCCCTTCGCACCCTGAGTTCTCCATGTCCATTTGCTGACTGTATTTTTTATCCCTTGGGTTTAAGCATGTACTGTGTTGTGGAGGAAAGGCTATTTACCCATATGACAAACATATTGAACACCAAGCTGTGGGCTGGGTGTTCTGGGAAATACACAGTAATCAGAAATGGGGAAAGAACTCAAGAAACTCACAGGCGAAGGGGGAATAAGAAATATCCATAGTTAAAATGGAGCTCTGGTGGTGCAGTGGCTAAGAACTACGGCGAGCTATGGCTGCTAACCAAAAGGCCAGCAGTTCAAATCCACCAGTAGCTCCTTGGAAACCCTGTGGGGCAGTTCGACTCTGTCCTATAGGGTCGCTATGAGTGGGAATCAACTTGATGGCAACAGGTAATAGTTAAAACAGAGACTATAGAGTGATACACACTATGAGAGGTATAAAGTGACCTGAAGTTCTGGAGCTGGGGAGATGCCCTCCCCCTGGGGGAATGGGCAGAGGTGTTTCAGAGCAGGCTTCATGGAGAAGGTAGCATTTGAACTAGGTCTCAGGATACAATGAGATGAGGGTAAGGGAAAGTGTAATCGGCTTATTGCAGAGCAGAAAAAGATGGAGAAAAAGCATAAAGGCAAGCTGGGGCATAGTAAAGTCTATATGGAACAGATAGTCGTAGTGTGGTGTAAGTGGTACGTATACAGGGAGATTAACAGAAAATAATACTGGAAAGATCGGTTAGGGCCGCAGGCCTTTTATATCTGGCTAACAAGTTAGGAGATTAACATGAATATTGCTATATATGTAAATACTTACATAAATACACCTGTACTATATCTATCTACCCCTTTACCTTATGCATCCAAGTGCATTTTGGAGACCACATCTACAATTCCTTTATCACAAGTAGCTTGTTCCCCTCAAATCACAGGCTTCCTCGCACTTCCAATGCCTCACTCCCATAGCCTCCCTGACTTTTCCGTGGTGCCATCTTCCCTCTCCAGTGGGACTTCCATGGTCTCTAGTGGTGCAGTGCTGTGCTAAATTGTCGAAACAACATCTGTGACTTCGAAGAAGCCTAATATAGAGCTTATACCAGGGAGTGGCCCAGCCCCTAGGGGAAGGAGCTCATCATTTCAGTAGGCTGTTGCTTAAGACGGGTAAACTGAAACTTGTCTGCAAAAAGGCTTTCTTGACAGCCCTTCTTTGCCAAGAGACTCTATAAAAGATGCAGTGAAACACAGAACAAGATGCTTTCAACACAACTAGAATACGTATAACCCACTGCACCCATCAAAATCCAAGTAAAGTTTGAATAATTATATCTACTCAGTAAGCTTTATTAACACTCAGTGAAAATGATGTTCAAAGGGATCTCCAGATCTTGTCTCCTTCCACGGAGACATCTTGTCTACCTGACTTCCATGCCGCCTGCAAATGTGGAACTGCCACTCCCTCCCACTGTGGCTGTGCTCTCATTGGAAAATAAATGTCCCTTGTGCTGCCTCTTCCTATGACAGGCTGTAAAGTGATCTATATGTAGTTTGTGTGTGTGTGTGTGTGTGTGTGTGTGTGTGTGTGTAAAATATATAGATTAGCGGGTCTCCGACTTGAGCATGTACCAGAGTCATCTGGAGGGTTTGTTAAACACAGATTGCCGGCCCCACCCCTAGAGTAGCAGGTCTGGGGTGGGCCCAGCAATCTGTGTTTCAAACAAGTTCCTAGGTGATGCTGATGCTGCTGGTCGGGTACCATACTTTGAGAACCACTGATAGAGACACTTCTTTATTTTTGAAGCTCTTGGCAGTGGTCAGTTTCTGCAGTTGTAGCTGTGAATACCAAGGTACCTCCCAAGGGACTTCTCTCCCTCGGCTCACGCAGTTGCAGCTGCCATTGCAAAGCCTGGAGGCAGGTTTGCAGCTCTGCCTCTTAGATTTGAAAGCCACCAGGCTCTTTCTTCAGAGTCCTCCCTCCTTTCCAAATTCCGCCCGCATCCACCCCTACACACACACACACACGCACACACACACTTCCTTACACATGATTACAGCCTGCTTGGTCCTGCCCCAGCCTTCCACAGCTACAGAATATTGTCAGGAGAATAATATCAAATCGCAAGGACAGCTGCACACATTAGCACATGTCCCAGGCCAGAGCCTGAAAACTTTAAAATGTCCTCTTCTCAAAGAAATTGGGCTGTGGGCAAAAAAAGGCAACAGAATGAAAAACAGGACCCATCCCCCTCGACTCTGGAGTGGTTTATTTTAGCTGCTGGTGATGACAGGCAACCACTATGCTATCTATCCACTATGCTATCATTCGTAACACATAATACAGTGAATCCTGTGAACACTAGCTAGTATGCAAAACAACAACAACAACAAAAAAAAAACCCAAACCCTTTGTCATGGAGTCGACTCCGACTCATAGCAACCCCATAGGACAGAGTAGACCTACACCATAGGGTTTCCGAGGAGCAACTGGTAGATTCGAATTGTCAGCGTTTTGATTAGCAGCCGTAGCTCTTAATTACTATGCCACCAGGGCTTCCAGTATGCAACGATTAGGGGAAACTTTTGGGACTGGTAAAACATGGATGAGATGGATAGATTTACTTAAAAGCACATTACAGTTTGTTGAAGAGGCAGCTGAGACTGGCCGTCCCTGTCCCCTAAGTTTGTATCAGACAGAAAGGAAACACATACAAACACACACACAGACACATCCATACGTCAATGTCTATGTGTGTGTATGTATGTGTATGTATATATGTGCAGGTGCATAGACTGATTGATTGACTTTTCAGGAGGGTGTGGATTTCCTGCAAAAGATAATAAGCCAAATGAACCAAATGGAGGTGGGAGGGATTTGACTTATCTGGGATTTTATTGTTAAGATAGAGCGTGACACAATTCATTGGTTTAATATCCTGTAGACCTTGATTTGAGGTTTGTTAATGTCACCATATACGACAAAAGACACAGCCTGGAAATACAGCAAAGCACTTTAGCAATTGCTCTCCTTGAAAGAAAAAAAAAAAAAACCATTTCATGATAAGATTAAATTTGTGTGGGCTGATTAGCTAAACATTATCTGGTACAAACTGTCCACCACCTTGAACGAAGGTTGAGAAACACATCATTAACTCATCAAGATTTCTACAGAAGGGGCCTCTAAATCAGAAGTCCATCTAAGCTGTAGTGAAATACTATGAACAGCAAAGAAACTGTATAGTAGAGGGTAGAATGGGGAAACTGCCCACTATATGGAAAGTTACACCCAGAAGAAAGACTTGGCACGGTGCTTTTTTGTTTTTGTGTAACCCAACAACTTAAACCACATGGGGCTGTAATCTGAAAGAAACAACTTTCTCTCAATTGTCAGCTAGGGTTACCCAACACATTTGTTCTCTGATTTTAGGGACCTTCTTAAAGACTTCCACGATCATAATGAACTGTTAGCACAGGTTGAAACTTTATTTCTGTCTTTGGAAGGCTTTGGTGTGAATTTTTCTAAAGAAATGTGTGCCTTGTACATAGCTCAATAAATGTGCTTAAGTTCAATTGAAAGTTAAATAGGTGGCTCTGTGACAGGAACTTTCCAGCTTTCACAGTTTTAAACGGTGAAGCCCTCAGGGCAGGGAAACACTTACTCATCCAAGTGTCTTAAAGACAAGTTTAAAGCAAGTTTCAACTTGCTCAATAGGCTGGTCGCTCCTAGAGACCAGCAGGCTGTTATTCCCTGCGGGGCATCATTCCTTCTTGATCAAAGGCTAGGTCAAGTCACAGATCCTTGAACAGGCAATGATCATAGAAACAGCTCCAGGGCCTGGGCTGGAAATTAGATTTCTGGCTCAGAATGAAGTGAAATCCCTCATACATGATGACCACCTAGTGCTGTAACCTGCACATTTTTCATATCAGCTTTTGAATAACTCATTTTGGCCAAATGGGTCAAAGAAATGACATCAGGGACTTAGAAAGGAGTCAATGGCTCACAATAAATGAAGTCACTGTGCTGGTTTATATTACTGGTGACAGCATATAGTTAGCTTCGTACATCTGTATTTTCAAATGTTATGAATTTTGTCTTCTGTATGAAATTGACAGCTTGACTTCAGGAGAGATACAAAACCAGTGAGCCACATCCGCTCTGGCTTCTTATTGCCACTCCTTTAAGTACAAAAACTACTCCTTTTCTCACCTCAAAAAACTTATGTCAGTTACCAGGTCCAATATATTTTTCTTAGCGGTCCCAACCATGTCAAGGAGAGGACCATCTAGTAATATAAGACAAGTATTTAAGAACTATAAAGCCCACAGCATGTAGCACTCAACAAAATGCACGTGTGCATTGACTGGGGGAAAAACTTAAAGGTCTTTATTCTTTGTTTGGCTATCAAATGCCACTTGGTCATAAAAATTGCTTCCATCTACGTACACTCTAGATCTCATCCCAAAGGCCCCATGGGTCAGTGAAGAGGTTCGCTTCCCACGGACTCTGGAGCGGAATAAGAGGGACAGACCCAGGCCACCAGGGCCGTGGCCTGTTTATGTCAGGCAATGTTTTATTTTGAAATATCGTTTTTGGCTAGATCTTTGTTATCTGTGGATTAGTTTGAGAGACGGAGTATAAAGATTTTTGAAAATAACTGTTTTTCATTATTGTCCAGTTGGTTGTAGTCATTTTTCTAAATGAGACTTTTCAGGTGAAGCAGGACTCCGAAGTGCAGGCCAATCATTCATCTTTGAGGCATGCATCTACCCGGTTGGCAAGAGCATATGTTTTGGCCCCATGTCCACTTGATTAGAGGCCTAAACCTGTCCATCTATGTATTCAAACAGCTCCTATCACCAGAGCATCCCAGATCTCAAGGTCTTGAGATTTCTTGCTGTTATATATTGAAGTGTCAATAAACAAAATAACCTCCAGGGTTAGGGAATAAGAAAGAATTTCATATATATTTTTTTAAATTGTACTTCAGGTGAAGGCTTACAGAACAAATAGTTTCCCAGGAAACAGTAGTACACATATTGTTTTATGACATTGGTTAACAACCCCACAACATGTCAACCCTCTCCCTTCTCGACCTTTTTTTGGTGAAAATATACATAGCCAAAGATACACCATTTCAAAAATTTCTACATGCACAGTTCAGTGACATTGACTACGCTCT